ATGGCGCAATCCTATATGGAGCTTTTCCAAAGTATCAAAGCACATTCTTATAGTGTCCGACGAGCTGAATTCAAAGATATCTTCGGATTCTCGAAAGCTCAATTTTGAACCGAGTTATAACGAATTCACGAAATTAACGAGGATTCGCGTTATTCGCGTGAATTTTCGATTTCAAACGGCGAGTACTGTACATATGTATATATACTACTCTATCGATTGGTCGGTAAACCGGCAATCGCATGAGATGAGGCATAAGATGAGAATCTTGTACGGAGTAACCGTTGACAAACATACCTGCTCCTGCTTCTTACAGAGTACTTGTACATCGCCATCGAACGTTATACGTTGACCGACTTGCATCGGAAAATACACGGCACACTTCTTTGTGTTCTTGAAACGATAATTTTTTCGTGATATTGAGGTTCTCAGTTTACAACTGGCACAAAAGAAAGAATACATCATGTCTATGTTTAGACGCGCGTAATCCCAGGAGTCGCCTTGACTTCCCGCCCAAATCTCTCGCTTAATTTAGTTCACTAACTTGTTCCGTGAAGTTGCAAAGCATCAGTATAGATTTGGATTTCTCCTGCACAACCATGCACCAAAATTCAGAGCAAGTCTTAGGCAGTGGGGCCTAAAAGAACTCTTTTACTTTGAATCTTGATGTATGCCAACAGAGTCCTAATTTGGACAGTTTTACCATACCACTTTCTGGCTGAAATGAAAATTAATACAATACCTCCTCAGTAAAGTGTGTGATCAAGTCCATGAGTTCTGCCCGTTTGCAACGGAACAACTCACATTTGCCAAATAGTCGCAAATCAACAAGCCAATCTCACCTGAGTGCAAATAAACCGTTTCGAGTTGTTTGGCGTCGAAACATAATTTGCATGAATATAGGATACATTTCCTATCTTTACAATAACACGCCGATGGTCTAGACAGCCAACATCCTGAAGAGCCAACTAGATTACACTAGTTTGGTTGCACGCGCATTCGCGCGCACCACACTTACTGCAGTAGTATAGAGGGGGCTCGTTGATCTATTGCTCCAGGGCAAACTCTGCCAACTTGGGTGCAGGCACACCGCCCTCCTATCGAAATTATTGAAGCTCCCCTTTTCTTCTCATCCTCTACCCATTCTTCCCGGTCTGTGGAATCTCTGGAACCTACTACAGCGTTTCGTGGCAAACACCGCCCACCTCGGTACGCGCCACACACACCGATGGCAGAGGACCTTCGTCCTTTGCTAAACACTATTTACCTTTTTACCGGATCCGCTTCTCCATGGAACCAATTCCTTTTTCAATTCAATTCGGCAGACTACGCTCTCTTTAGAGCATGCTCAACATCAACTTTTGACTTCCCCTCCTTCTCTGATCACTACCCACTGTTTTTTTCAGGTTTCTGAGACTTCTCTGTATTGGCTTAAGAAAACTTGAAATGAACACTGCTTATTCAAGGACACGCTCCGCCTTATGCGAGTGGGCTTCCGCCGGTTCATGTACTGGTAAGTGTAAACCTAGTTATACCCTTACTTGTTAGTTCAGGTGCTGGAAACACCTTAGATATCCATCTTAAAACATTTCTTTTCTGCTCAGTGGACCTTTTCCTAGTAGGGTTGTGCACC